CTAGAACGAACTTTAGCCCACCCTCTATTGTGACCATGGAGATAAAGCATTGTAATTAATAGTAAGTGATTAGAGCAAAGGGGAGCGGTCGGTTGGGGGACTTCCTGGAAGATTTTATTATATACTCAGGATGTATAGGAGAGCTATGCAATTTTTTCATAGTAGTAAATTGGAGAGTCAGAGGGGGGTCGCTTCCCAGTGAGGCTGCCTCAATTCTCTGGAGCAAATAGCAGGCAGCCTTGCTGACATGCTAACTGACCCAAGCTTTGTTCCAAGGTCGGGGGGTTCACAACAGTGGCCTTGCCAACGTGTTGATCCAACCGGAAGCGGAGCTCAAAGGTCGGGGGGCTCAGACAGATCCTGGGGCCTCACCGGGTCGGACTCCTCCAGCTGCCCACTCGTGATGGTGCTTTGTTTGCCACTGTCTCTGACTGCTGGCTGGGCTTTTGACCTTATAGACTTGAGAATCCCAGGACAGTTTCGGACTAAAAGATCCTGTTTGAATGAATTCTGTGGTACATAACATGTGCATGAGAATAATGGCTTCCTTGGCTCCACATAGTTGCCCCTCAGTAAGTGAAAACACCTGGGGATCTCAAGAACGACCCCCTCTCCTCTGCTGCTAGTTTGCCTACCATCCCTCTTCCAGCAGAGCCTTCTCTGTCCTGGGGGTCTGTAGAGGGCGCTTGCGTCACTGGGATCCTAGAGGCTGGGGCAGGCTGACGCCCGAGCCCCATGAGGGCTCTGATCTCACGATTTGGAGTCAGTGAATCTGACCCTCAGGAGCTCAGGCTGGAATTTGGGGTGTGAAGTTTGTGTTTCTTGAAGGGTGTTACCTGGGTGAACTCTTCAGTTCCTTTGCTTGTTTGTGGACACATGCTGGTGGACTGGGAAGGGGCTTCAGCACCAGGTCGATTCTGTCTTTGGGGACTGGTTCCTTTTTGTCCTTGTTGCTTAAAGAGCTGGAACTTGATGTTCCTCAAGTCCAGCCCTGCCACCCACTGCCTGCCTGTTGCACTGCTGTTTTCTGAGGGCTTGTCCACAGCTGCCCTTCAGCCTCCTTGCAACGTCGCTGACCCAGCCCGTGTTCCCGCAGCAGTCGTTAGAACGTGTCACCCTGCATTGTATTTGGGCTCAGATCTGATGCCCTGCTTTGCACTCTAAGGCCCTGGAGAGTCTCGGCCTCATAATCTGCAGCCCTAATTCCTAGCACAGAACCTGCACCTGACAGGCCTTCGGAGGCAGAAAAGCACTAATCCCTCTGTTCGTCAGTAACTGCGGGGACTTGGACTTTCTTCTTAAAGACAAAGCAAAAGGAAAGATTTTTGAGAAATGGATCACGTCAGTGAGTTACGGGCTCGTCAGCGGGAGGGTACAGGTTCTCAGGCGGAGTCCCACTCTTGGCCCAGCCCACGTTGTTCCAGAACTCTGTGGTTTGGTCCTGGGTCCCCTGACCCCACCCCCAGATGATGTTGACTTTCTCCATTACGTCCTCAAGGAGCTTTCAGCCCTTACTGGGCATTTTTTTTTTTTTTTTTAAGAAAGGCAGACTGCCACATGCAGCGCCTCATTTGGATGTGGCTGGGGGCTTGGAAGCTTGACTACCCTACGTTCTCCTACAGTGGACCTTGAGAGCTTGTTTGGAGGTTCTAGCAGGGGAGCGCAGCTACTCGTATACCCTTGACCGAAGAACGGTCCTCCTCTATCGGGGATGGTCGTCCTCTTCGACCGAGCGCGCAGCTTCGGGAGGGACGCACATGGAGCGGTGAGGGAGGAAGGGGACACCCGCCTAGCCAGCCAGATCAGCCGAATCAACCCTGGCGATCAATGGGGTGACAGATGTCGCAGCCAGATCGCCCTCACATCCTTACTGGGCATTTTGATCCAGAGTTAGCGATCGAAACCCGCGTGCCAAACCCAGCCCCCTGCCTGCTTCTGGAGTAACACTTTACTGCAGTATTATCATACCCGTTGTGTCAGTGTCGTCTGTGGCTGTTCTGTGCTCCCAGGACAGAGCTGAGGGGCGTGACAGAGACCGTGTGCTCACACAGCCTAAACTCGTCACTGCCTGGACCTGTGCAAGAGCAGTTTACAGACGCTGCTTTAGATGATAAATGCCTTCTGCCTGCCCACACTTCCCATTGGTTTGGTTTTTATTTTTCGTTTATTCCATTTACTTATTGTGAGAGAGGTCATGCGGGTACATGCTTGGTGCACTCAGCGGTGTCTGGACAGGTCTCTGGGTGCAAATCTCGAACCTTCCCACGTGGGTCAGCCTTGTTTGTTTGTTTGCTTATTTATTTATTTTGGAGAGATTTTTGCTATAGGGCGCGTGCGCTTGCCAGAAAGACAGAGACAGAGAGATAGAAAGCGAGAAATCACCTCCCAGGGGGGATGGCCACGCCACGATCCCTTCTCCTCCATTCTCCTCTCAGGATCTTGGGCACGCATGCACACGCGCCCGGCGTGAGTTTTAAGCCACCGGGTCCGGGACGCAAACCGCGGTCGACTACGTGGGAGTCCAGCGACATAGCCATTATGCTAACTGCTTGTCCCTGTTTGTTTATTTTTTAATAGAGAGATTTTTGCTACAGAGTGTGTGTGTTTGCCGGAGAGACAGAGACAGAAAGTGAGAAATCTCTTTCTGTTGGGGGGATGGCCACACTGCCATCCATTCTTCTCTTGGGATTTTGGGTGCACACACACACACACCCCTGCACCTGGTGTGAGTTTAAGCCACTGAGTCTGGGACTCGAACCATGGTTGACTGTGGGGAGGTCCAGCGATGTTACCATTCCACCATCTGATGGTCCCAGCCTTGTAGAGTATCCTATTTTACTGTGCCACCAGTCCCCACTTTGTTTTGTGGTGATGTATGATGGGAAGCAGCTGGGTAAAGAGGGGTGTGGCATAGGCGAGGGTCTCCCCCTTACCAGCTGAGGCACGTCCCTGAACTTCATGGTCTTTTTCCCCCCATATAAATGGGGAACAAAGGCAGTGCCCACCTCCCCGGCAGTTCTGCGTACAGCTATGAAAACACGCTACGGCTCCGCAGCAGGCCCTAGACATTGTTTTGCCATTCTCCTTCTCAGGAGGAAGAAGCCAAGAAGCTGGTGAGTGAAGCCATTGCAGCTGGCATCTTCAACGACTTGGGGTCTGGAAGCAACATTGACCTCTGCGTCATCAGCAAGAGCAAGCTGGATTTCCTCCGTCCCTACTCGGTGCCCAACAAGAAGGGGACCAGGTAAGCAGAGGAGTCGAAATTCTTCTGTGTCCCTGGCAGCACACTGCCACCACGCCAGAGCCGGTCCGAGACGTGATTGCAAAAGGCGCTGCGTCTTGGATCCTTAGAGCGCGTGGAGGGTGTGGGAACGCCGCGCGGAGAAGTAAGCTGCCCCCTGCCCGAGTGGCACGCCTCCGCGGGTTCCCCTGCCCCCTCTCTGCCCCTGCTCCTTTGACCCACTTGTCCACTCGAGAGGGTGCGCTCTCTGGGAGCACGTGCCATGGCGCAGCCATGGTACTCCTTGTCAGGGTGCCAGAACCAGGCCAGGTGGGAGCAGTGGGTTGTGCTGGTGCTCGGCAGTACTCCGGCCCAGTGTGAGGACTGCGCATGCCCCGCTCACAGCCTGCCTCGTGCTCGGAAAACCCTCCGGAACAGTGGCTGCAAAGGTGGTGGTGGACGTGCTCAGTGGTGACCACGTGCCCTGGCAGTCTGGAGGGAGTGGTCTAAAGTGACAAGCCCAGAGTCTGGCTAGTGTTGCCAGGTATTTCTTAGGTGTCTAAGGTGACAGCCTTTGCGCTGCACAAGAGGGGGCTGGTCAGTTTAATGAAAGGATTTACTCCTGCTGGTTATTATTGAAAGGTGCTTTAGTGAGGTCGATACTTAGAGCCAAAGGACCAAGTGTTTTCCAGCATGTTCTGGGGATCAGTGCCAGGTAAGATGCATCGTCTATTAATACCTAGCAGCTGTCCCCATGTGGCAGCATACGCCACACCAATGAGGCTGGGGAGACTCGGGCCCCCAGGTCGTAGCTAGAGTCAGGGAGCAAGGATTCCAGCCCAGCTAGCTCGAGACCTCAGCTGAGGATGGGCACCCACTTCGGCCCTCCGCGGGCTCCTCAAGGAGCGTCCTGACTGGACCTTTGTTTCCCTCACTAGGTTTGGCCGGTACAGGTGTGAGAAAGGGACCACCGCGGTCCTCACCGAAAAGGTCACTAGCCTGGAATTCGAGGTGCTGGAAGAAACAGTACAGACCATGGACACTTCCTGAAGGGCGTTAGTGGCTGATTGGGCGTCGTTCTAGACGACTGGGGTGTTGGAGGCTCCCCAGAAGACGTTCCCTTGGTAGTGTTTGCTGAATGAAATCCAATAAAAGATAAATCAGACTGGGGGACTGTGGGTGTTTTTGGCCACTAAGGTTCGCTGGCCTGGCCTCCCTGTTAGGATGTGAACCCCTCCTTGGTTACTAGTCTGGGCTCGGTGAGTTTAAGAGCAACGGGACTCTCTTCCTCACAGCCAGGCCTCACTGTGCAGGCCGGGTGGTTACCGAGACCGTGGACGAACAGCTGCCGCCCCTTGTACTGATGTACCTCCGGCGGGGCAGGCCCAGGTCTGTTCTTTCACAGGGCGGTGAGTGCAGTGGGCAGCCACATAGGAGAGAAATGTCAAGGAGTCTCCACGTGTGGGTCCCGCAAGCCCAGCTCCTTACAGAGTACCAATAAAGGTGGGTGGTGGATGTTGGCCTTGCCATGGTTCACGACAGCAGGACGCTTTGGACAGTTTTACAGAAAGCGAAAGGGGGGCTTGGGCTTCACTGTTGGACAATAATTAGGACATGACTGCTTTGCAGAGGCTCGGGCCTGGCTAGTGGGTGCAGTTGGACGCCACCAGAGGACCCCATTGCTCCCAGGTGGAAGGTGGACGGCGCACAGGAAGCAGGCGCCTACCCAGGTGGGGCCTGAGAGCTGCCGGCCTGGTACCTGCAGAAAGTGTCTGGAACCAGGACTCTCCGTGGCGAGTGGTAGGCAGGATTTAGGGACTTTGTCCCTGGGAGAGAACACGAGTGAAACCACCCTTGGGCCAGGAGGGGGCTAGGGAGAAAGAACAATGAATTATTGAGGGCAGCGATCTGGCTCGTGATTAAAACTATCTGGGGAGTTTAATAAAATTCCAGGATTACTCAATGCCTGGGACCTGGGAAGCTGCAGTATTTTTTTTTTTTTTTTTTTTTT